AGAAGGGGTGCTTTGGCGTTCATGAGAGATGCATGTGAATCTGAGATTCAGAAATGGCAGTTGGTTCACAGGGCAAACAAAGCTGTCAAGGGTAACAATAGAAAAGGAAGTGGGACATCCATGATAATTGTGATCGCACTAGTTTATGAAGCTTAGGAATATCAACTCAGTTGTAATGCTCAGCTTAACCTTATTCACGTACCAATTTAGATTCTTGACAATGAGATTCTGGTTCATAGGAAATCAATTTTATGAAGTTTTGGGGATGTTTCATATATAAGTTCATGCGGTTCTCTGATCTTCACTAACAAACGTGAACAGGTTCTTATTGTCTTTTTGTTAGAATTAATATAAAACTATAATCCTTGATCCTCACCATAACTTCGGAGTTTTGGTGTAATGGTTAGAGAAACTAAATTTAAGATGATATCAGAGCAACCCGGGTTCAAATCCCACCGGCCACGAATTAAATACGGATTTTCTAAAAGTTGACACCGCTACGTGAGTCCAGTTTTCAACCCATAAAAAATGGTGCTCTACCTGCAGGGACATGTTAGAATTAATATAAAACTATAATCCTTGATCCTCACCATAACTTTAGAGTTTTGGTGTAATGGTTAGAGGAACTATCCATGGATAAAAGGGACTATCCTTAATTTGTTCAGCCATGGATAAAAGGGACTATCCTTAATTTGTTGATTCGATTTTCAACCTTCTCCTTTGCTTTATTCAAGATGTTGGATGTCCTCAAATGCCACCTTGCTCCTAATGAGGTTGTAGTGTCTAGGCAAGCAGCCCCAGCATTAAACGGCATCCTTTCCCTCTGTTCACAGTGTAGTTTCATAATGCTTAGGTTCACTTTCAATAGGGGCCATTGAATTATGCATGTGTCAATAGGGTGGTATGATGAATTGCACTAGTTAGGTAAACCACACAGCATATGAAGAAACTGTCATGTTTGGGAAGCCCTATTCTTTTCGATTAACTCTGATGATACGACCATAATCCGTAGAAGGATGTCAAAGCGGGACACAAGACATTACATTGACACGATATGCAGTCCAGAGCCGGCCCTAAGCTAGGGCCACCAGGGCTACAGCCCGGGGCCCATAGCTGAGGGGGCACTAAGAGTGGGTGAGTAAACTATGGGGTGAACTAACATCCATTCGTATTACACGGGCCCCACCCCTAGGCCAGCCTCATAGCAAGCTGTCACCGCCTCTTCTTCTAGGCCGGCTCTGCTAATTTCCCATCAATGGTCAAGCCCAAAAAAGTTCTGAAAACTTGGCAACATTCAACAAATAACAACAAAAACTACTCAAGAACCCAAAAAAGAAATTTTATTTAAAAAAAAATCTCAGATTCTTTCTTTCTCTTGTGGGTATCTAAGGAGGAGCCTTGGCTCTCAATCTCATCGTCCTCTTCAGTCACTCTCATGTCACTCTCATGGATCGTGAAGCAGGTGGTATTTTGTTTTTCTTTGGGAGGGAAAAGTCCCAGAACTTTAAAAAAAATCGTTGCGCTTCCTCAAATTCACTAAAAATTTGATTCTTTATGCGTTTCAGTGATCGAGTTTCTTGCGCAAGCCCCACTGCTGCAGCGGCTCCCCAGTTCTTCTCTCCGTAAGATCTCCGAACTCGTCAAGGTCGAGCGTTACGGTGAGATTCTCAATCGATCTCAAATTTGCAATGTTTTATTGATGACGTTTGAGTAGAAGCAAAGATTTGGAAATATCATTATAATGGTTGTAGTTTTTTTTTGTTTAAAGAGTTTAATGGTTGTAAAGATATTTGGCATTTTCTAAAGGGTTTTGTTTACAATCCCAAACTTCTACTTTGACTTAATTTTTAGCCTCGCCATCACTCCCAAAATAATTTTTTTAACCAAAATTACCCATACTGAAATATTTTTAAACCCAACTATAACATGTTGAACCCAAACATAGCTACCTATAAACCAACTATGGCAACTTAGTTCTTATATACCCATTGCAACAACTAAGACATCAGTACAGGCTACAGCAAATGAAACATTAATTCCGGTTTTGAAAATAATTCAGTGTAGGTATTTTGGGGAAGTAATTGAATTGGATGTGAGTGGGTTTAATGTTTAAAAACAAATAATGTTAAAAGTTCTGGTCTATAATTTAAAAAATATATACGGATAACCAAAAGTTTGTTGTTAAACAAATCAAAATTATCAAAATTTTGGTCAACTCTTGGAAAATCTGGTTACTCTAGCAGTTCAGCAAGCAATGTTTACAAACAAAATACTCTGATTCTGGCAGAAGCTCTGGTTTTATTAATCTGCAACGACTCACCTTTGTCTTGAAAAGCACTCTTAATAGAAAAGCAGAAGTTTTTGTAATGGGAAAGTTTATGCATTGCATGTAATTTTGTTATTATTCATACTATCAACCCACCGCCTCTTGATTAAGCCCCAACTCTGACCTCGTTTGGGGTACTCTTTTTCCTTCGTTTGGGGTTTTGTCCCATTGGGTTTTCCCCAACCAAGGTTTTAATGAGGCCCCAAAGTATTTTTTCCTTGTCTTTTGTAAAATCTTATAATTTTAATAAAATTAATTAATTGATAATTTATTTATTTATTTGTTTAATTTGTATAAAGGGGCACACTTGAGAAAATTTGCCCTGGGCCTTAGAAAACCCAAGACCGGCTCTGATGCAGTCTAAGAAACATGGTAATCTATGTATGTGTGTATGCATGTGTGTATGTGTCTGTGTGTCTATGTGCGTGCATGTGTGCGTGGGTGAGTGTGTGTGTTAAACGAGGGATGGCGTGTCTGCGTGTGTATGAATGGGGACAGTGTGTTTCTTCATGTCATCGGCTAGTGCGTCGCTAACATGGCACGTCCATGCCATCTGTTGTGATATGGTATTGAATTTATAGGTGGAAACAATTGCTCTGATTAATCCATGCTAGCTTAACCAAGTAAAGAGCCTAGTCCAAATAGTAAATAACGCAAAATATCTAGAAGTTATTGACAAGAATTCCAGATGTGTAACGAGATTTATTAATTACATTAAATGATTGGTCGAACCTCCCGGGGCATCTTAGGCAAGGTTTTCATGTGATCTACAAATGATCTTATTACATATTTTTCTTTTCCCCACAACATTTGGGTGACATCTCTACTGTGGTCTTACATGTTTCTTGATCACAGGAATTAAGGGATGCCTTCATGAATCGAAGGGATGGAGATTTTTTAGGGAATATTTGGATATAGGAAAAATAAAGTAAGACAAAATATATGATATTGAAATTGCGCTCATCATTTAGTGAACTAAAAATACACGTGTTGGGCCTCATTCCTAGGCAAATCGCATGTCAGATAACTCGCAAGTTACACAATGCTATGTGCAACTTTTTATCATTCTTCTACTCCTCCTAAAATGAAGAAGTACAACTTATTTATAAAAGTGAAAACAAATAAAACTACATAAGTATCCTACGTCCTAACTTATATATAACTAAGCAACAAATCTTAGATATCCTAACTAAAATATCTCAACTAAAAAAAAAATCCTTACAAATAAATTTCTAAGTGATTTATTTAATCCCAGTTGCATGAAATCTAACCTTCTATTTTTTCTTGCACTGACAAATCTATTCAATTCACTATAGGAGTTGGAATTTATTGCAACGTAGTAAACTTAATTTGGCGGTACATGCTAACAAGGAATAGTTTTTTTGGCACTTGCTTTGCGCATTATGCAATGAAGGAGGCAATACGTGACATGGTACTCAAATATTATTTTTCTTAATCCAAGGAGTTTTTGCATTCAAATAGCAACTCTTCATGAATCATTTTTTAAGTAATCGTAGTCGGGACCTGCTTCATTTGTCTGTTTTGATTTTTCAAGGAGCAATTATACGTGACACAGTGTAGATTTTTTTTCCTTTGTAATGCTAGATATGTTTTTGCCCTTTGTAAGGCTAGATGGCTGGGCCTCTTACTATGTTTTGTGAAATTAGTGATCATATTATTATAAGTTGAAAAAAAAAACATATATAGCATGCACACAGGAGGTTTAAGATATGAGACCGAGAGAGCGAAACTTAACATTGAACCTTTCTTTTAGCTAAACCAAAGAAGAGGAATAAGGAAAAGCAAAAGAAAACTGGTAAGTTTTTCTTACTGTGCCATGGAAAAACTTCTGGAAAATGTCATCAGTTACGTCATAGAGCAGTCAGCATGAGGCCGCGAATAATCATGGCGTAAGGGAGAAAAGCCGCGACTTCAAGCCTTATTTACCTCTTATTTTGTTTAGCATCTCCTTTTATCACCAAACATATACCTAAGCAAAGAATTATTTTTTTCATCTGCCTGTCGCACAAAATTTTAAAAAGTTCATGCTCTGTCATTATTAAAGTTGATTCCTTTTTCGAATGTCTCTTGCATCCATCTTATATTTTAAATAATCCAAATATCGGTAATAAAGCGGGTTCTTGCTTTGAGTTGGAGAAAGCATAAACGGGAGGCCATCTAGTATATAACATTGATTTGAATCAAAGAAAAATTTCCGGAACCCTGTAGAAGAATCACTGACAGTTAATCTTGTTCATTTCCAACCTATATACTATATATACTACTATATATATACTATATACTATATATATAGCTACTACTATCTATATAGATTATATATACTATAGGTATATTAATATATAATACATGAACATTTAGTAAAGCTTTAACCCGCGTTTCCCATTCTTAATAGTAACACGCGTGGTCCCCAATGTTGGGAAGAAGGCCGTAGAGGCAATGACCACTCACAGCAGAATGAAGGAAATTTAAACCAATTGAAGCTCTTCATTCATTACAATACAGCATCATAACGTAGTTATTATATATATATATATATAATATATAATGTATATATATATATATATATAATAAAAAATAATAATTAACATAGTATATCTAAACTCACATATAATCTACCAATGCATAAAATGTAGAGGCAATGCATACCAGAGAATGAAGGAAATTTAAACCAATTGAGTCTTCATTCATAAATACAGATGTTCTAATTAATAAAACTTCCATATGTATCGAAAAGAAAAAAGAAAACATAAGAGAAACAAACCATCAGCTCTCTCTTCTAACTGCTACTTTGGATTTCTACTGCTTCTCTGCCCACTCGATCTCTTGATCGACGCGATCCTCTGAAGCCGTATTTGCTCTCTAAACTTAGCGATGAACTCATCAGCCTTTTTATCCACCTCATTCTCTTCTGGCACTGCTTCCTCCGGCACAGATTTAGTCTCTTCTGCATCAGACAACTCACTATCGTCATCATCAGTTTCAGAGTCGGTTGCAGAAATGATCATCTTCTCCATGAACTCGTCCTTCTTCTTGCTTTGATTTCTTGGCACTGGTGGAGGTTTCTTTGAGCGAAGTGTTCTAACTGATCTTGCAATATATGGGTCGTTCTCCATGTTGGAAGAATCGACACCAACATTCTTGCTTTGGGTTTTTCCCCTTCTGCTTATATCCTCAAGCTCATCCTTGAAACTTCTCTTTGCATCCCTTTTCTCCGGGTGCAAATAGTATGTGTGAATGAGAGGTGGAGGTGGTGGAGGAGGTGGTGGAGGTGGTGAAGACTTGTAGAAGCTCTTCTTCCTCCCGAAATCCTCACTGATCTTACCTCTGATTTCTTGCGAGAGAGTTGGAGATCTGAAAGTTGTACTTCTTGAGGGAGCCAATTCTGTATCAAATGCAGAACTAGGTGGAGAATCTGTAGTGGTAGATTGGAAAGATCTACTTCTTGAAGTTCTTGAAGGAGAAACTTTTTTTGGAGACAATGATCCGAAAGATGCACTTCTTGACGGAGCCAGTACTGCATCAAACGCAGAATTTGGCGGAGAATGATGAGTTGGAGATCGAAAAGATTGGATTCTTGAAGAACCGAGGTCCGTGTCAAAAGGAGAATTAGCCGGAGAATGACGACCCGAAGACTGGAAGGATGGAGTTCTTGAAGGAGGATCAGATTCTGTATTAAAGGAAGAATTAAACGGAGCATGAGGGGAAGGAGGAGATGATGATTCTTCCTTCGTCTCCATTCTCCCCGATCTTGATTTCCACGGAATTGGAGATGGGAGGACAGCGCTTTCCTTCCTTCCAGTTTCACTATCTTCATCATTTTCATCGATCTCATAACTGGAATCGAATGATTTTGAATACTGAGACCTAGATTTCAAGCTTCGAACCGGCAAAACCAGAGGCTTCGTGCTACTACTATTTCGGCTATTAGTACTTTCTTTGGCAACCATAACCACGGGCTCTTCTCTGTAGTATTGATTATAATTCCACGTCTGGTTCTTTCCTTCATCGGCAAGATCCAACCCTTTTGGTGATTGGATCTCTTCTTCATCAAACACCGAGGGTACCTGCAGAATTTGAGACACATAAGACTCTGGCGTTGTGTCAGGTTTCAGTTGTGTCTCTTTCTCTATGTCATGATCGGAGTTTCGGCGGCTAAAAAGGCCATAGGAAATCGCTATGCCAACAAGGAGAAGATGGAGGAGCTCCCAAGTTTGTGTAAGGATTGATTTGTTTGATAATTCAGGTGATTGTGAAGAAGGGAAAATAGGGAGAAGGGCAATGAGAACAGACACAAAGATTAGTTTGTAGAGGAAATTGGGTAATGGCTTTGAAGGGTTTTGCTCTTTCTTTGGAGATGATGGGGTCTTGCTTGTCTCTGCCATTAGACGTGAACGGAGTTTACTCTCTTCTTCTACCTTTTATGTTCTCTCTCTTTGGCTTTGGTGTTATTAGAGGAAAGAAGGCTTAGGGATGAAGGAAAAGAGGAGGGAAAGATAAAGCTAAAGCTTAAGGTGAGGGGATGCCATGTCTTTAAAGAGCATAAGGTGAATGTTTCCTTTTCTACTGTCGGTGTGAATTGGCTAAACAGTGCATGAAGTTGGTGGAATATGCAAGAATGCCCTCTTCTCTTCTCAACCTTTTCTGCGTACTGGTTTTTCTCGTTATTTGGCTAAGTCTAGCTTCGTTTGGATGAGTTTGATGCTGTCAATCCTAGCAAATCAAGTTGGCCATCTTTTTGCTTGTCCATGTACTATATTAGGAGCTAAGGATCAAAATACTTGTTAGCTGTTTTGCTTGTCGTACAGATACAATGTACGTATGTGTGTATGTACTTATGTTTATTCGGTCTTTTTTTTCTTTAAGATGTGTATCTTGAGCAAAATATAATTCATAATTATGTTGCTTTTTTATCAGTTTAAGTATTTCCTTGTAGCTAATTGCCCGTTTTTATTCAAAAGAGTAATCGTGATATACTGCAAGTGTTTAGGGTGTTTAAAGTTAGGTTTATTGCCGATGGAACCCCTGTAGCTCGTTCTATTGTTGCATATAGACCACTTGAGTGAATTTTTGACTTTTTTACCCTCAGTAGGTCTATTTGTCAAAAATCATTTTCTATTTATCCGAATGTAAAAGAGTCTAAAAAATTTCGCTCTGGGGTCTGTGAAGAAATTACAGAAACTCAGAAGAATCAGGAAAACCAGGCGGCGGTCGACCGGTCCGGTCGACCGGATTCGTGCACAAAGGTGGTCGGTCGACCGGTGCGGTCGACCGAGGGGTTCTCTGGATTTTGGATTTTCTACTGGGAGCTGGTCGGTCGACCGGGCCGGTCGACCGAAATTGATCGCGGTCGACCGGTCCGGTCGACCGACGCTGTTTTGGGCTGGGCTTTCAGGTTTTCGACCCGATTCGTTTTGTAAGTTCTATATATACCTAAACCTGTTTGTTTAGGGTAGAGGTTGGACGAATTTGAGCAGCCAAAGAGAGAGAATCATTGCATCCAATTGTGAGAGAGCTTTGAGAGATCTAGAGCTTTGTTTTAGGGTTTGGTCTGAGAGATTTGTAACCCTATTTGTATTCTCTTGATTTCTAGTAGAAAGAACTCCCCCCTCCTTGCCCCGTGGACGTAGGCAACTTGCCGAACCACGTAAATTGTGTGTTCTTGCTGTGATTGTGGTTTGCATATTGTTTGTGGTTTAGTTCGAGTTATTGTTCGTGTTGCCCTAGAAAGCTTCCGCCGCGCACAACAATTGGTATCAGAGCTAGATCGACAACATGGGAGATGCAAGCACGTCAGGTTCGTCTCTAACAAAGGCGATACAGAGTCTGAGCATCAATAACACGAAGATTGATGTTCCGAAGTTCGATGGCAAGATCAATTTTGGATTGTGGAGGTGTCAGGTGATGGATGCTTTGGATGCACAGAATTTGGAGGAGACTCTTGAGTTAAAAGAGAAACCCGCTGAGTTGGAGGATAAGGTTTGGAGAAAGATGAACAGTAGAGCTTGTGGTGTTATTAGGTCATGCTTGACGCCGGATCTTATTTATGATGTTATGAACGAGACGTCGGCGAAGAAGATGTGGGAAACACTCAATGAGAAATATCTTACGAAGAGCATTGAGAATCGGCTTCACTTGAAGAAGAGATTTTACCAGTTCAAGATGAAGAGAGGGGTTTCCATCAGGGAGCATGTCAACAATTTCACTAAGCTACTTTCAGATATGGCCAATGTTGATATTATAGTTGAGGATGAAGACAAGGCGATGCTACTTCTGTGTTCGTTGCCCGAAGATGATTATGGTACGTTCGTTCTCACTATGATCAATGGAAGAACTACAGTTAGCTACAAGGAGGTGACCTCAGCTTTGGTGAACTATGAGTTGAGGAAGAGTGATGGTGAACCCTCCGAGAAGGCATCGGGAGATGCGTTAGCAGTTCGAGGCCGAGATCCAAACCGTCGTCAGTTCAACCGCTCAAAGTCAAAGAATAGGAGTGCCTATAAGAGTGTTGGTAGAAATCAATGTCGGTATTGTAAAGAAGAAGGACATTGGAAGATTGACTGCCCAAAGTGGAAAGAAAAAGCCGGAAAGAATAAGGGGAAAGCTGCACAAGCTTCAGAAGTGAATGTTGCAAAAGCTATTGGTGAGCATTCAGATTCAGATTCTTCAGGCTATTCATGCCCTGCTTTACCGTCGGTTTGCTATGCGGATTCCACGGAGTGGATGATGGATTCGGGAGCTACATATCACATCTGCCCTAAGAGGGAGTGGTTTTCTAGCTTTGAGGAGCTGGAAAGAGGGGATGTCGTGCTTATGGGTAATGATCACGTATGCCCTATTGGTGGTATTGGTTCAGTCCGGATCAGGATGCATGATGGTGTAGTGAGGGAATTGAAGGAAGTGAGGTTCGTGCCGCAGTTGACGAAGAACATCATTTCTCTTGGGACTTTGGAGGCAGCAGGATATCGAGTGATCTTAGAGGATGCTACAGTGAAGGTCACGAAGGGTTCTATGGTGGTGATGCGAGGTGTCAGGGAAAACTACCTATACTACTTGAAGGGCAAGACAGTTACAGGGGGTCTGGCAGCTTCTATCACTACAGAGGAGGACACTACCACCTTATGGCACATGAGACTTGGACACACAGGAGATAAGTCCCTACAGTCATTGGCTAAACAGGGGCTATTGAAAGGTGCTAAGACCTGCAAGATGGAATTGTGTGAGCATTGTGTACTTGGGAAGAAGACTAGAGTGAAGTTCGGCACCGCTGTTCATAACACCCAAGGTACATTGGATTATATTCACACGGACGTTTGGGGTCCTTCCAAGAACACATCTCTTGGTGGGGCCAACTATTTTGTCACTTTCATTGATGATTATTCCAGGAGGAATTGGGTATACCCGATGAAGCATAAACATCAGGTCCTGGATATTTTTGTGGAGTGGAAAAAGAAAGTGGAGCTGCAGACAGGTAGAAAGGTGAAGACTCTACGTTCAGATAACGGTGGAGAGTACAAGAGTGATCCGTTTCTGCAGTTTTGCCGGGATCACGGCATTAGAAGACACTTCACAGTTCGAGAGACACCGCAACAGAACGGGGTGGCTGAGAGATTGAACCGTACCTTGCTGGAGAAGGTGCGGTGTATGATGACGCAGAGTGGATTGCCTAGATCTTTTTGGGCCGAGGCGTTGGTTTATGCGAGCCATCTTGTGAACAGGTTGCCGTGCACTGCGATAGACGGGAAGACTCCTTTGGAGCGTTGGTTTGGTTCGGAGGCTAGTGACTATGAGTCGCTTCGGATATTCGGGTGTCCAGCTTATTATCATGTCAGTGATGGTAAATTAAATCCGAGAGCGAGGAAAGCAGTCTTTGTGGGATTTAGAGATGGAGTCAAAGGCTTCAAGTTATGGGATCCACAGGACAAGAAGATAGTTATTAGCAGAGATGTCACATTTGACGAGGCGTACATGATGAGGCCTCGAACCCCTCAGCAGGTGGAGGGAGACCAGACAGGAGAGATATCGCAGCAGGTGGAGGATGATGTGACTCCACCCACTCCAGAGAACACTGTATCCATTGAGGCTCCTACAGAGGTGACACTGGGAGGAGATGAGATGACAGATGGGCAGATACAGGATACAGTAGATCATGGGACTCAGGAACAGGGTCATGTTCAGAGGACCATTGCAGCAGATAGACCGAGGAGAGAGATTCGTCGGCCAGCTAGGTATAATGATGTCATGGTCGCATATGCATTATCAGTGGAGGTCGTTGATGATATGGTTCCAGCCACATTCAGGGAGGCAGAGTCTAGCCCCGATTCGATCAGGTGGAGGGAAGCTATGGAGGAGGAGATGCGGTCTCTTCAGAAGAACGACACTTGGACACTTGCACATCTACCTAAGGGTAAGAAAGCTATTGGTTGCAAGTGGGTATATGCGAAGAAGGAGGGATCTTCTATTGGGGACATTCGGTTCAAAGCCAGATTAGTTGCCAAGGGATATGCACAGCTTGAGGGCATTGATTACAACGAGGTATTTTCACCCGTTGTGAAGCATTCGTCGATTCGGATTTTATTGGCGTTGGTGGCACAGTTGGATTTGGATTTGGTCCAGATGGATGTGAAGACAGCCTTTCTACACGGTGATTTAGATGAGGAGATCTACATGACACAACCACAGGGTTTCAAAGCTGCAGGAAAGGAAAATTTGGTTTGTAAGCTGAAGAAGTCTCTTTATGGTTTGAAGCAGTCACCAAGACAGTGGTATAAGAGATTCGACGGCTTTATGATTGGCCGAGGGTACACGAGGAGCCCATATGACCCATGTGTTTATATGCACAAGCTACAGGATGGTGAGCTCATATATTTGCTTTTATATGTTGATGATATGCTTATTGCTTCCAGGAATTCTTCGGCTATTCAAAAGCTAAAAGAGGAGTTATCATCCGAGTTCGAGATGAAGGATCTTGGAGAGGCAAAGAAGATATTGGGTATGGAGATCGAGCGAGACAGGGTGAAGGGGAAATTGAAGCTAACACAGAGAAGTTACTTGCAGAAGATGTTGAAGAAATTCAGCTTTGATGGCAATGCAAAAGCAGTTAGCACACCATTGGCTCCCCATTTCAAGCTTTCAGCGTTGATGTCACCTGTTTCAGTTGAGGACAGAGATTATATGTCGAAGGTCCCATATGCCAATGCAGTAGGTAGCTTGATGTACGCGATGGTGTGTACGAGGCCAGATTTGTCACAGGCCGTGAGCATGGTATCGAGATACATGCATGACCCCGGGAAGGGTCACTGGGAGGCCGTGAAGTGGATTCTACGGTATGTTCGAGGCACCGTGGATGTTGGTTTAGTATTTCAGAAGGATGAGAAGGATGGGCAGGCTTGTATTGGATATGTGGATTCAGACTATGCTGGAGATCTTGACAAACGCCGGGCTACGTCAGGTTATGCTTTTACATTGGCAGGTGCACCTGTATGTTGGCGTTGGTGGCTCTCTCTACTACAGAGACAGAGTATATGGCAGTTACTGAAGCTATTAAGGAGGCTTTATGGTTGCGTGGATTATTGGAGGACTTGGGGATCGCTCAGGAGACTATTCGGATATATTGTGATAGTATGTCGGCTATCTATTTGGCGAAGAACCAGGTTTATCATGCGCGCACGAAGCACATTGACGTTAGATTCCACTTTGTTCGGGACGTCTTGGATGATGGGGATGTCATATTGGAGAAGGTCCACACAAATGACAACCCTGCAGATATGTTGACCAAAGTTGTTTCAGGAGTGAAATTTGGTCATTGTTTGAAGCTTTTGAACATCCTTCAGTGCTGAGGC